ATCACTGGGTGGTGAGGATAGAGAGGCAGAGAGAGATGTAGCAAGAGGGGGTAGGTGAGACATAGCAGCATAAAAGTGTCACTGTACATGCCATAAATAGACTTTATGACTTTAGCTCTCTCAGAAAAGCCTCAGGTACTTTTAGAAGGATGCTGGCTAGGCAAGCAGGTCGGAGATCTGCCTCTGTCAAGTTCACATGTCAGGAAAAAAACAAAAAAATTTACACGTGGCCTGTCCAGAGACAACATGAGAACATTGTTGTCATGCGCCCCGGGAACAGGGATGCATTTGCATATCGCTGACCACAATCCCCCCTTTTTTTGTTGTTGTTGTTTTTCTATGACAAAAGAATCTGCTGAGTAAAGGGATCTCTCATTATTCATTCCTACCCTCTCTACCGCCTCTTTCTACTCACATCATCAAGTGTACGCTGAAGCTGAGAGCCAACACGAGTTGACAGCAACGTGCATGCGCCAACGTGCACATTTTGCACTTGCTGCCTTGATTTAAGTTGCACAGCAAAAAAAGCAAAACAAACAAGAATTTCCCCTAAACTGTGTTTCCACTGATTTTGATTGACTATACAAAGCTTGAGGAAAACAAGAAATGCACAGCCTACTGTGTCTTGAAACTTAAACCATGCCAATAACAATATCCTTTATAGAAATTTATTAATTTATTTCTTTATGGTTTATTTAATATTAAAGCAGCAAATATCATATTTTGGCCACTAGGGGTCAGAAATGCTCCAAAACAAACCCCACCTTATAGCAACAGGTAGGTAAATTCTTGTTGCTTCTCACGCCAAAGCACAAACACAACACAGTGCTGATATAGTGCCGATCGTTAGGTTCTTTATGTGAGCAAGTACAGTCCAATATATGTACACAATACTCAGCCTATTAATCTTGATTAATAATACTTATATCATTGTGCAATATGGCACAAATATATGCTCTGGACTAGTAACTCAACAGCTTTGTCTTTACTTTTACCTGACCCTGACACATAAACAAACTCCAAGATCATCACTTTTTGCAGCAACTACTTCTCAACATAAAATGGGCACTCTGTCTTTTTCCAGCTGTAAACCATGACCATGACATGACCATGTATTTTGCTCAACTCTGTGATGTTGACTGTTAACCTTTTGGCTATAATAGATAGGTTAGTGTATGAATTCTTGAGTTTTAGGCATCGTAGAAATAAGTAACCATACATTTAGTGTGGATACTAAAACAAACTGTAATCTCAAGAGAATTTGTGCCAAACTTGAAGATTCCCTCATGAGGATGAGAGAGTTGGATTGCTCTAAGTCTTTAATTGTACATTGCCATATTTAATCACAAATATTCCTTTCATCTGATTTTACCAGTGTCAACATCCCTTAAACAAACCTAGTAAACATGCCTGTGTGCAGATGTTGGTGAACTGTGAGGCTGCATAAGCACAAGCAGACCCACACTCATCATGCATGGGCCCCAAGTGGATGTGGCCATAGTGCCTCTGTTTGCTGGGTATTTGTTAAACTTCTGAACTCAGAAAAAAAGCATTAAACTTTCTGACAAAAACATATTCAAGTTTTGAAAGAGTCTGTCCATCTATAGATCATGAAGTTATCTATCTAGCACATCAGCATATCATTTGCATTTCATTTAAAACATGTTCATGGCCCTACTTTACTTTTTCTTTTGTCACCAACAGGTCCTTAAAATAATATCAGGGTCCACATATGTACTTTGACTCTGTTGTTATGTGATATGAGTACACGTTATCTAGCCTAGCTTTATTATAGGTGGTTTGAAAAGCTTTTATTTATTCACTGGGTTCCACTTAAATGATCTATGTAAATTTACAGTAATAAAACCAATCCAAAGAGTTAAAAGTAAATGCACGGTAGAGCTGCAGAGATGAGTTGGCTTTTTTAGGACAGTTTGGTAGGACGAGCAATCCTTCCACATTACAGTAAGTCACTGGATGTTCACATGAAAATTGCTTTAGCATTAAAAGCTGAGTCGACTAAGGGCTAACATGCACTCTGTCCAGACTTTGATTCAGACTCACAATTTAAGCTTTCATTTTATCTGCTAGTGAAGCTGATCTCTGATCAACGACAGTTCGTCCAGATTACAAATGAGACAATTTAGCTTTTACGCCTGTCACAGCCAGCAGCAGCGGCTTGTGGGGGTCTTTTAAAAACTTCTGAATAGTCACAAAAGAGCAGAATTCAATAACACTGGCAGGCCGTTAGTAATTTTTAAATGAATGCTACCTAATAACAAAAATGTCAGAGATGCACACTCACAATATTGATGTGTGGCAAAACTGGCACATGGATGTAGCACAAACAGTATAACCTCTGCTGAAATGTGCCCAATCTGATTGTGTAAGAACTCAGAGTGGTTCTTTTGAAGGGCAAAATAAGCCGCACTCAGCGCACGCGCCGCTCCACTATGCATTTCACACATCACCCCAAATTGAGGCTCTCTTTCATACGCACAGCATTCTCGTACATTTGCCCTTCCCTGCGTCACTCCTCTCCTTCCCGTTCCTCTTATCAAAGCCCTCTCTTTGAAACCGCCTCGCTGACATCAAGCAGCGAGAAGATAGAGCGAGATGAGGGAGTCTGCTTGTTAGCACGTTTAATATGTGGATGTAAATGCAGCCAGTTGTGAATATATGATGAGGACAAATGTACGTAAAGATGGTAAGAGCAGCTGTGCCCTGTAAAAGGGAGATTATCCAATCAGAGATATGCCTTCTGGAAAACAAAAAACAAAACATCAAGCAGCGCCGAGGGACACGGAGTTAAATATATAAATGAATATAAATTGAAACTGCAGAGATGACAGTGAGGGCTTAAGATCACAGCCATATATGACACAATTACAAATTTAGATCAAGGTCAAACTGGGCTGTCACTCTTTCTCTCTTTTTTTTCAGCTACCGCCACTCTCCACCCAGCTCCTGTTTGAAACATTAATGAAATCCGGGTAATGGGTTTGCCTGGCAGAGCTTCATAAAAATTCACCCATAAAAGTCCAGCCAAATTATAACCTGCCCGTGGTCTGATCTGTGTTCAGTGGATTGTCTCCAAATGAATTCAGTGTAGAATTGCTTGTTTCTCCTTCACTGAATTTATTTAGCTTCAGCGCCGAATGCCAAAAATATATAAAAGCGTGCGAAGCTCGCTGCCCAGCAGGGTTGTTTAGCAAAGAAAAGTTAACTCTAAGATCTGTGGGATTTATGCTGCTTTTTTAACTCAATAAATAACAGGAAATTATGGTTTCTTGACTTGATTTGGCTACCTGTGTATACAGAGGTGAGTAATCAACCACCAAGGAAATCTTGTGTTTGGTCAACTTTTCTTATTTGATTTTTATACTATACAGTCATTCTGTTCATCACTCTCAAAAAGCCTAATCACGCCCACTATGATTGAGTTTGGTAGAATAATACAACATTTTTGTTTTTTAAAAAGCCAACTGGGGTAAACAGCTTTCATAGTTACTCCATATTAACATCTCATCAATTTGTAGCAACAGATATCCTCATGGGAACTTTGTCTACCACAGAGCATTAATCCCTGGATATTGTAAACAGTGAAGAAATTGATTTTGCTGATCAAAGATAGATCCCCAAAGACGGCTTCTAATGGAGATGATGTCAGCCTTGAGGAAGATTTATGGTAAAACAGCGTGCAGAGAGAGACAGATGAGCCAAGGCAGAGAAGAGGGTAAACAGAAGGGACTGATGAGTAATTGTACAAAGCACACACTATTCTCTGGGGAAAATGTGTGCCTATTAACTAAACATTTTCATTTTGGGCTTTTAGGCATTCTTATCTATTATAACCAGCACGAAAGCATCGGTACTGACCAGATCCTGTTGTGTGTTTAGGATGTTACATTTGGGGAGGAATAAAGGTAAGTGGACAGAGGGTGCATTACAATTTTTCATTTGTTTCTTTTCTTGCGTCATTCACCCAGAAATATCATTTCCAATAAGCCCCTACATGATAAACATTACAAATGAGGCAGAGTCCATGGGAAAGTTGTGTCACGCTCAGATATGTCAACTGCAGAGATTAAAGGTTTAAAAACTGGGAAACAGCAATGACAAAGAAGGCTTCTGTGATTTTTGCAGCGCTGATGTGAGGACTTGCATATTTGTCTGCGCTCACCACTGACGCTTTAAACTTTAATCAGATTTAGTCTCGCAATAAAAACAGTAAACCTCTGGAACACACTTCATTTGTGAGAGAAGCTACTGCAGGAAAATGTCTGATTAATTTGTTTGTTGTGCATTTTTAAATCATCATTCCCCTGCGAATGCAATGTTAGGTTCTCTGTTTCAGTTCACAAAATTTGTATACAAGATGGGATTTAGTTAGATTAATCACTAAATACAAAATGAATAAAAAGTGCAGCATGAAAGTATGGAGGTCCACAGATGCCAAAATGAATAAAATAAATTATTAAATAATTAATTGAATGTGTCATTAATGATTAAAATGGGAATTAATTAATTAATTAGACATATAAATAATTAATTACATGGGCTTTCAAATAATTTAAAACATTTAAATTATTTTATTAAATTATTTAATGGTGTATTCATTTAATTCATGTTGCCACTTGTGGCCCTCCATACTACTGGCTTTTGCTAATATCATAAATGAGTCATCATGAATGCACTGGTGTAAATGCATTTCTTTACATTTCCCTTGATGATTACAGCTAAAATTCTAGTCATGTGTTGAAAGTGTCTTCTTTTAAAATCCAGAGAAGGGACTAATGTTATTGCAGTAATGTGTATTCACATTACCACAACCCCATGCTAACAGTTTCAGCACTGAGGCAGTCTAAAAATCTGCTCCCTGTTACAGTTGGTACAGGGGTGACTGGGAGGTTACTGGGAAGAATGTGAGAATTTATCATGGGTCTTTCTTTTTTTATATACAGGTTATACTACGCACCAGCATCCATCCTTCTACCTACCCTCGGAGCTGATTTCACGGGACCGCACTAGGTCACTCTTGTTGCCCACAAGGATGATTGGGGTTTGTGGCTGGGACTCCCTGAGAAGGAGGCGGAGCTGGGCGGTGCGGTGAAAACTTCGCCTGTCTGTCACTGAGAAGACCAGGATACACACATCGCACTGCAGTGTGGAGAGGTCCTGTGAATTGCAAACACACACATGTATTATACAAACACCTTGGTGGAGCAGACCGGTGTGCACACGTAAAAAGAGAGGTCAGGTGACAGCAGAGCAGGTGTGGAATGTCAGGTGTCTACTAACCATTACAGAAGATCGTGTTGCATGCCACCAACAAATTGATCATTTGTCCTTCAACTGCTTTTTAAAATTGCCTCTCCAGTGCCTGCTGGTGTGTTTGTTCAACGCCATGGGATGCTATTTCCAAGTACTCAAATTTTTATCACTGTCCCACGAGAGGACTCAGAGGGGATCTTTGCTCAACTTGACTATGCGCCTGTCACGCTTCACTTTGAATTGCCTGACCCTCTTAAAAGTGAGCACCAACATCCCGTCGGGGCTTCCTGTCACAGAGGCTCAATTAGCCCGAGTGGCTCTTGCAGAAACAGCAGCTTGTAACTGCCTGGGACCATGTTTTCCCTCTATTGCTTTTCCTCTCGATTCAGCTGGCTGCGTTTACATTGGACTGAAGGTGGTCCGTGGGTGCAAAATTGGTCATGGCAAGCTAACTGAAAAAAATCGTGTCCAGCAAGCAATCGTGGCTCAGTCCCTCCCAGCTGATCACTTGCTGACCCAGTCTAGCATGCTTTCAAAATAATGTCTTGTCTGCTGTTGCAGCAGTCACACAGCTATTGTTGGGTGAGTGATATTAGACAGTCAAGATTAAGGAAACTGAACTGTCTGTGGCTAAAACGTGCTTTTACATTTAAGTTTGACCTTGTGGTCAGGGAGATTAGACTTTCATTAAAGCCATGATAAATGGACTGGTTCTTATATAGCGCTTTTCTACTTTACTTGAACAATCAAAGCCCTTTATAAAACATGCCTTATGTAGACCAACACTTTTTTCTATGCTTTCTGTCTAACACTCCAGTGAACGCATCGGAGAAACTTGGAGTTAGTATCTTTCCCGATGGTATTTGGCATGCAGACTGCAGCAGCCAAGAATCAAACCACCAACCTTCCTGTTACTAGATGACCTGCTCTACCTTCTGAGTTGCATATGGCCAAGAGGTGATAAATGAGCACAAGGTATGTGAAGGGTATCTTCCTTTGGTGAAAAACCCAAAGAGGTGTGTTGTGGAAGTTTTCCATTTAAATAAAGCCTGCAGACGAGCGGTGAACGGTAGCTAACATTCTTTAATCCAAACACACAAAGAACAGACAAACCAAGTTGGTGGAGAGCCTACATGACCGTACATAATACATAAGTAAAAGAAATTCCTATACAGGTGTTACCAAATAGCTGCGTTAATAAATAATCTGGATCCAGATTTGGTGGCCCATTGACTTACAGTACTTTCATCAGAGCTATGTTATGATAAACCGCTGTACACTAACAGCACCCACGGCAAACATTAAAGCTAGAACCTAGTTCGTTTTTCTGCTGTTTGTTGTTAAAGAGACAAGTATTCACTGCAGGAGACCAACTATAAAACTAAAAAGATCTGCCAAGTGACAAGATGTACAAGCTGAAACTTTCCCTGGTTTGGAAAAATAAAGCCAAACTGAAAAAACTGCAGTTCCTTGAAGAACCACTTGAGGCTGTATTCAATATAAAGTCAGTCCCAGAGCAGCCCATTCTCACTCCCGAGACGTAACATGCCGACGTTTTGTCACGTCCCGCTGCGTTCCTGTGGAACGCAAAAGGAGACCTTCGGCGTTCTTATGGTACGCGGCGGGTTATGGCTGAAATCCAGTGCAATGACGCTCCCACAGTAATAGACGTTCCAGCCCTGTATTCCAGCCCTAAACCTAACCTTATCCCTAGCCCTAACCATAACCTTATTCGTGACCTTAACCATGACTTTAATGACGTTAAATAGTGTGTTTCTAAGCGATTTGAAGAAAAAGAGCGCACATGTGTAGATTGAGTCCAGACGGTTCTCATATTTCCTCATTTTTCCGAGGTCGTCATTTAGGAACGTGGTGGGTAGCCGAAAACGTAATATGTTGACGATTTGTCACCTAGCGTAAAATGTTACGCTTTGGGAGTGAGAACGTGTTGCCCAGAGACAGTATAACCTCCATGACTGCTAAAAAAAATGCATATGATGTGGAGGGGTGGGTCTGACTGTGATACTACACAGTCTTTGGCAAACAACTTGTGATTGACAAGTCATGCAGTTGCGTGTTTCATACCCAGGATAATGCTCAATTTTGACACATGGTGTAAACGAGACTTGGCTTTTTTTTTATTCAGTATGACCCAAATCAACTGACTGACCTCAAGAACTCAGCAGTTAAATGTTTACAGAAGTTAAGAGATAAAGCGGTTTCCCCATAGACTTTGATAGGACCAAAGGTCTTTTTGCACTAATAGCTATTGCCATCGGGCAACTGCTATTAGTGCATAGGTACATATTTGCATCCATATCTAACTGCTCCCTTCATGACAATGACAACGTGACACTGAGGTTTTGTGGGTTCAGCAAAGCTTCTCTACAATAGCGTGCACATGGAAATATAGATTTGTGAATGGGTCCGTGGGGTCAAAACGGTTAAAACGAAAGACATTTCATCTTATGTTGAACAAACTGAATCAATACAAACCATTTTTCTCGCAAAGACAGAAACGTGAAACCAAACCACACAGTGTAATGTCAGGCCTCGTTCTCGAGGCTACATGTCGATAATACAGGAACCATTTTGAAAATAGAACCATAAAGTGGAAAGTACAAAGTTTTAAATCCAGTCTTTGGGAAACACAGACTATGCATGCAGTCTTTAGCAATAAAGGAATACAAGTGCAGTGCATTTCTGTTCCCATTTTGTGGCTCAATAGCAGAGAATTAAGTTTATATAACATTCTTTAGCTTGGAGCTTTTCTCTTGACTTTACTGTAAACTAAAGGAATTATATTTGATGGTTGGTTTAATCCAAAACCTTAAATCTATAGCATTCCATCAGCAGACATAATCTATTCATAGTTCAGCTGAAAATAGGACACAACCACAAAAGACTGGATCAATAAAAAAGAACTTATTTCGAGCAGATGATCCAATCTGCCTGCTGAATTGGGACCGCATACAGTCTGCTTGTGTGAGCGTGCCCATGCCCCTGCCCTACATCTACAGCTCCCAAGGTAAACATCCCAGCCCTCCAGAGAGTTTCAGACGGCTGAAAAATTCAAACAATCTGAAGCGGCCAAGAACTGCCCGATCAGACCCCGGAGCAGGAAATTCATGGGGAGCACCTTGGCAGGCTATCTGTTTGACAGCGCACAGCAAAAGACAAGCAGAGGAAAAGGAAGGAGGGGGACGGGAGCCACCGGCCACCTGTCACTGATGGATTGGGGGGGATCAGGAGGAAGAATGAAAACAAGACAGAGAAAGAATCAGGGACAAATCTTTGCGAGAAAAGCCGTACAAAAATTGAGTAGACATCGATTAGATGGGCAATGAACCGATCCAGGAAGAAGGCTGTGACCAAGTAAATACACCTCTCTATCAAACGGAGGCAAAGCAACTCGGGACTGCGCCAACTCTCTCCCTCTCTTGATTAAGCAGCTTCTCTCTGTTCACGGAGAGCAGGCCATCTGTCAATACCAACTCCTCCCATGCACACACAAATACAAAAGCCAGGCACGCGTGCACATACAATCATCCACAACATTCACACAGTACTAATAGAGCATTCAGGGAAATTTAATGGAATTATTAAGATTAAAAACAGGGACTCGTCTGGCTGAATTGAACAACATTTTGCCAAAATGTGAAAATCCAACAAACCAATGCAACTGAAGAGGAGGAAATCAAATGCAGAGAGCCAGCAGGATGAATGCAAACAGTGTAAACACCAGGGTGAAGTCAAACAAGAAAATAACAAGGGCAGGGAAGGGAATAGAAGAAGGAATTAAAAACCCAAATATCCACAAAAAGAACTAACCTTTAAAATAAACCAGGAATTGAAATGAAAGCAAGACAGACAAAAAGCAGCGATATTCAGACAGGCGCAACACAGGAGGCACAGCTAAATGCTCAGAAACACAAAAGAAGTGTTCGTCAGTCCTGGGACCACTTCGTTTTTTTTTTTTAGGGAAACCTAAAGTTTCAAAAGTCTGGAGGACTTCTCAGTAGAGTTGAAAGAAGTCAGAGTAGTAGATTTGTTTTGGAATAACACATATTCAATATTCACATATCCCTGGATCTGATCCATAAGTTTGACTATCTAGGAATAATTATGTATACATAGATATGTCTGAATTTTCCCTGCACTGGGGCTGAGCTTCTCATACTCAGATGATTACACAGTCATACGTCCCCGATTAAAATAAAGGAACAATATTTGTTTCCAAAGCTACAGCTGTGATACTGGCTCTATATTGAAATTATGAATAAAGAACGGCCTTTTTTTTTCTGTGGGTGAATGTAGCTTTGGGCTAAATCCGCAAACGACTCCTCCTCCTCATGCTGTTACCCATCATTTATGACTGTGCATCACTTTCTCTCTTATTGATAGCCTCAGTTTCATGATGCTTAGTTTTAGTGCTGACTTTTAGGGGCCATAAAAACAGCATAAACATAAAGCTTTAGTTAGAATCTGTTCTAAATGACAAAGAAAAGGCTTTCTAAGACTTAACGTCTCCACATTTCCTGTTCCTGGCAAAGATAATATTGATGGAGCTGCGCTGGAGTACATCTCATTGAAACTTCAAACACTTGATTTTGAACTGGTGGAAACTATTTGAGAAGCTTGAAGTGTGTAACAAAGTTTCTGCACTATTCTCTGAATCAAAATCAGCACTTTTTAAAGACTCCTATAGGTGGTGAACAAGGAGGATGATGAAAACTGCAACATTAAGAACAGTAACTTAAGACAAATGTGATAGATCATGTTCTCGTTCGCGGAATGAAAATAAGTGAAGATTGAAAATGTGGGAACACTGAGTTGTTGAAGACAGTGTCATTTCTGCAACAATCACCAGGGTGATGTTTATCTTACGTTAAAAAGAAATAAAA